TGACAAGAAAACACCAGCTGCTCGTGAATACAAGGTTACGCTTCAATGCCATGATTGTAACTCACGGTGTGTGATTGTGAAAATCAAAAATTGTGGATCATCACTAAATTTTATAAAGCTTTGCTATGGCATTCAGTTCCGGTATAGACAATTCAAAATCCAAATTCCGAACGTGAGTGGTGAGCTCATAAAATTACTTGCCGAAATTGATGCGATCCATGTTGACTTGAGTCCCCGAGAATGACGAAAAATGCAGAGATCATAAGAAAACCAAGAAGTCAGTTTAAACGAGAAGCCGCCGCCAAAATACCAACAAAATCCATGTCGGAGAATATAACAGGCGAGTACATTTAACGCAGTTATTAATCATAAAAAATCCGACAGTATTAGTGCATTAATTAAAAAAAATGGGTCACTCCGAATCCAATTGTTGGTATAAACAAGGAAGTTTAAAAAAACATTTGTGTTAAAATAAATAACGCCATCTAAATTTGACACCGATAGCCATGTTATTATACTGTGAGCAAGCTCAGTCGTTAAAATTCCTTATTGATAGTGATGCTGACATATCAATAATTTAACAATCTGTAGTAAAAACATTAAAAGGATCGATTGGGCTAGCTGAATAAGATGCAGGTGCTTCTTGGAGTTGTTGACATTATCGCTTTTTGTTATTTGTTAGTCATTTGCCGACTGTTACATTAGAGGTCGTTCCAAATATTGTGGTTGCAGAAGATATTGTTATTGGATGCAATGTCAGATGCCGACCTTGTTTAAGTGTCGAGAAAAATGCCGATGGGATTAGGTTACATTATGACCTGCTCAACATTCAGAAAATGTTTACAATAAAAAATTGAACGATATGAAAATTAATCAATTAGAATTAAAAGACACTTTAAAAATACAAGTGAATAGACTTTTAACATTTTACAAGAATAAATCTCCTGACCACATAACTACCGGAAAAATGTCAATTAAGATTAAAAAGCAGTACTCCAGTAGCGTATCGACGAAGGCGATTAGCGTATCAAGACAAAATTCAGCAGAAGAAAATTATAAACAGTGACATTATCCGCAGAAGTCACTTAAAATGAAGGTGGGTAAGGTTTTCTGGATTTTCCCCATCTGTAAGTCAAATGGCAGTCATCTTTAAGTCGTCCCGGAGCGTCACTACAAATAAAATGATAGCCGTTCTTTCCACACACAAGCTCAGTCAACTTTGGAGAATGAAATTCACTCGTAAGTACAAGGGGTGAATTAGGGAGAGTATTCCTATTGTATTATAAAATATAAAAGTCCTATTGTGCTATTAAAAAAAAAAAAGGTTTTGAAGATAAAATTAATGCTTTTAAAATATTTTACCACGTTGGAAATAGAAGAAAGTTCCAAACAGGTAACTGCTTTTGTTACTAAACCTATTGCATACTATAGTCGCCGTGCGACTGATTGTGAATTAAGGTAACATTTTTACAATCTAAAGACTTGTTATAGTGAAAGTGGTTGAACACTTTCGTGTGTATCTGTACAGTGTGCATTCAATAGTTTATACAGACTAATTCGGTTCGAGAAAAAGCAGTAAACAAATTATATACGAGCGCGGCGCGTTGATGTGATAAGTTATAGAATTAAAACTTTTCTATTGAGTACCACCCTGGACATAAAATGTAACATATAGATTATTAAAAAATCCAGTGAATTATGTAAGCGAGTTAAAAGTGTGCCCGTTAAAAACAATAAACAAACAAACAAAATTACCGATAAGCATACGCTCCGAGATTTCCAGCAAAGTGTTACGATTTGTCATCAGATAATTAATAAGCCGGTTTTTGACTTTGACCTACCTAATTGTTAAATAGGGCAACTATAAACAAATCTCCGAAAATATTGTATGTTCGTCGCAGCGCGATTATTTGTTTATTCTGACTTTATAAATTGATGGGTCTTCACATATAGGATAGTATAAGGTATTCAGAGACTGTTTATTTTTATTATTTTATATTGGCCGAAAATGGGTCAGTGCTTTAAAAAAAAATACATCACTTGACGTGAATTTTGGTAACATGGAAAAAGTCACATAACATTTTAGACACATAGTATATTAATCATGTAGGTTCTTTAGTGAACTCTAGTGGTTGTATTCAAATATTAGTTATAATCGATGCATTCTCAAAATATTGCAAGCTAGAAACAATTTCTAAGGATTCCATATGTTGTCTAATATCAATTATTGAAGAAATAAGATAACCAATATGAATTATTATAGCTGCTGCATTTAATTCAATAACTTACAAAACCTTTCTTAGTAAAGCAGATTGATTATATAGTAACCGAAGTGCCATGTGGAAATGGTAGAATGTGTAATGATTAACTCTCTTTAAATTATTATGAGCAACACTCTTAGCAGAAAAAGAAAACCAGTGAATAGCAGTAGAAGAGGCCGTCGTAGTATCACAAAAATTGATGACCGTCAAACCAAGGTTAACGATTCAATGAAACTAGGCGTCGAGCCACATTATCTAAGCCAGGCGATATCGTGGCAATTGAAGATTCACAGCTCGCAGGTGGGGGAAAATTGAGGCCAAAATACAAAGGGCCTTACACAGTTGGAGAGGTATTACCACATGAAATATATCAACTTCACAAAAAGCGACAGCGAATAACTGTAGCCGCTCAAGATCAGTTGCTATGGTCATCGAAGTAATTTAAAAAAAAAGGTGAGTGGAAATCCCACAATATTAAATTAAAATAATTGTTTTTGTTGATTTATGGTGGAAATCCCACCAAATTTAACTAAATAAATTATGATAATAAATAGGCACTAGGGTTTAGTGTTGTAGCACTAGCGTTTAGTGTTAGGGTGGCAATTCCACCAAATGTTCCTGAATAAATCATAATAATAAATTAACACTAGAGTTTAGTGTTGTAGCACTAGTGTTTAGTGTTAGGGTGGCAATCCCACCACATGTTCCTGAATAAATCATGATAATAAATTAACACTAGGGTTTAGTGTTGTAGCACTAGTGTTTAGTGTTAGGGTGGCAATCCCACCAGATGTTCCAGAATAAATCATGATAATAAATTAACACTAGGGTTTAGTGTTGTAACACTAGTGTTTAGTGTTAGGGTAGCAATCCCACCAGATGTTCCTGAATAAATCATGATAAATTAACACTAGGGTTTAGTGTTGTAGCACTAGTGTTTAGTGTTAGGGTGGCAATCCCACCAGATGTTCCAGAATAAATCATGATAATAAATTAACACTAGGGTTTAGTGTTGTAACACTAGTGTTTAGTGTTAGGGTGGCAATCCCACCAGATGTTCCTGAATAAATCATGATAAATTAACACTAGGGTTTAGTGTTATTGCACTAGTGTTTAGTGTTAGGGTGGCAATCCCACCAGATGTTCCAGAATAAATCATGATAATAAATTAACACTAGGGTTTAGTGTTGTAACACTAGTGTTTAGTGTTAGGGTGGCAATCCCACCAGATGTTCCAGAATAAATCATGATAATAAATTAACACTAGGGTTTAGTGTTGTAACACTAGTGTTTAGTGTTAGGGTGGCAATCCCACCAGATGTTCCAGAATAAATCATGATAATAATGGTGGCAATCCCACCAACATTAATTAAAAGAATAATTAGTGGCAATCCCACTAATGTGTCTTGTAATGGTGACAATTCCACCAACATTTATTGAAAGAGTATTAAGTGGCAATTCCACTAATGTTTATGGTAATGGTGGCCATTCCACCAACATTAATTGAAAGAATAATTAATCATTTAGCGTCTAAAAAGAACATTAGTGATAATGTTCATAAGTCGTAACAGTAGTTCTGTTTTCGTATTTTGTAATTCCAGATATATGTGGCGCGAGGACGCACCAATTGTAGGATGGCCGTGTTAGCGGTATTTCTCTATACTCCCCACCATACATTCTTGAAGTCCGTACACATGCGTGTCAGGATGGACGAGCGGGCGAAGGCAGACCAGCGCAGTGGGTAGTACGCTAATAGACAGTGGCAATACCACAGCAACATTGTAATTGAGAATACTTGATCGTGAAATAAACCATTGAAAAAGCAGTTTAGACATTTTTATTAGGGATGATACATCCCTTATGTTTATATATTTATATTATTTGTTCACACCTTATTCTGTAAATGGGGGAAGCCCTGTAGGATATTGGTAAATAAATAAACTCTAACTTATGGAGGGTAGGTTTCCCCACGTCACTTAGGCCTCACTATGCCCACTGTGCGTCCTCCTAAATTGATAAGCCCCTCTTAGCTCGTTAACCAGCCTCAGTTGATGTAGTTAACAAATCGATGAGAGATGCTTCTCTTATATTGGCCTCTGGCAATACTCGCCAAACACAAATCTTTCAATAAATAAGAGCATCGGGCAATTGTAGAGGATTTGCACGATGGTATCATCTTGTTTGCACCACCTGCTATGGAGATGCTTCCGTACATAGACATCTATCTGTTTTTGCCTTATGGCTTTTTGTATTCTTTGAGGTAAGATTGGGTAAGATAATGGACTGTCTGTATACAGTGTGTCCAAAAAGTAACTTAACTTGATAATAATATTTTTAAATGTGGTCATATTTTAAAAAGACTTAAGACTTTCTGCAGTTGGTACAGAAATTGTAAATGTACAGAGAATTTGAAGAAATTTGTAAATATTTGGAAAATAATCAGAGTAGCAGTTTTGGAAAAAAAAAGGTTAAATCCATTTAAAAAATATATTTTTTTTCTTATTTAAAAAAGCTTAAGGGAGGTTCGCGCGCTCTCTCCCTAAATCCGCCACCATTATTCAGAGTGTAATAGTTTTGATTGTACTTAGTCTTTCTTCCTTAAAAAAGTATCTGTTAATTTGTCTTAATTGCTTCTATCTCTTTAGTTTTATAATATATTTTTGATGTACCATTTGGACTTTTGTATCCGTAGCGTACTAGTTTTAAATAAATAAAAAATAGTACCTACAGTTTACTTACCTGTCTTTCCAGCTGATGTGTGTGCAGCCACAAAAACATGATTGTGTTGCTCTAACTGCAGTATGGCAAGTTTTTGAAAAATATCTAATTCAAAAGGAAATTCCATAGCCATTTCGGGAATTTTTTCTTTAAAATTTGTTACTGGTTTAGTAGTATCAAGCAATACGGCCCATTCACTTGTATTGGCAAGATTTTTCGATGCAGTACTGCTTATATTTAGCACTGGAGCATCTTTAGGTAATATTTCTTCTTCCTCAGGTAAAGTGACTTCATTATTTTTTGTTTCTTTGGCTGATAGAACATATTCAGATTCAAAAACTCCTAAAAAGTATTTTTGAGCCAAACCATACTTAGATTTGCAATATGAGATTTAATTTACCTAACAAATCTTGCTCTTTTTGAACAATTTCCATTAGATTTATAACATTTGGTGATTCATTTTTTATTTCTTTTTCAATTTTTCCGTCTTCATTAGAAAGTGTCACTCCATCTTTTCCAAAGGTTAAACCTCTATCAAAACCTGGTGGAACTGTCAGTAAAGTTTCTACAAAGTAAAAAATATGTAAAGTTTAATCCAAATAGAAAAAAAAAACACTTATTTTTATTTATATGCACTGAAGGAGGGCAACAGTAGGCAAATAAATTTAAGGTATCTACAATCCATATTTTTTTAGTTTAAAAAATTGCATATATCTCATGGATTAAAGAAAATATCAGAGAAGCAAAACCTAATAAAAAAAATCTTTTGGACTGGAAATATTTGATTTCAGGTATGTATTATTGAACTTATATCACAGCTTATACAATACAGCTCCACAACTCCGTGTCGGCGTCTTTGATCTGGCGGTCGAGAACCAAGCAAGACGGAATGGTGCTATCTCTGTTAGATTCGAGGGAAAAGTCGGGCCCGGATTAAACAATTTTTTTATTATTGAAAAAATTGAAAACCTTGGCGTAATGAGTTTGGTTACATGCCATATTAAGTAAATTATGGAAAATTAAATTTTTAATTTGTTTTAAATCTGTTAAATATAATTAAAAAAATTATTTAAATTTAAATATTGCGAAAAATAGCACATCTTTCGGATTAGAGGTAAAATAATTTGTATGTGGCTAGTAAAATCCTCGTTAACAAATGTTTTGAGCTAAAACAGTCACTTCACGACAAATTGTGGCTTGGATCCTTTTTACACCAAGGACTTCAATTGTTAAAGAATTGTGTCACGCTCGTGGATGCAAATCAAGTGGTACCCCGTGTCTCTGGCAAGTGTTACTATTCGCGCAAAGGGTTTATACCTAGATAAACGAATGCTTCGACTGAGGTCTGGGAACTCTATGGTATTTTGGAATTATAAAGAATTTGTGCTTTTATTTTAACAATATTGGTTATATTTAGATGTATTCTTATTAATTGAAATACAGATTTGTCAAAGTAATACATTGACAATATTTATTAATATAATATATTCAATTTTTATCTGACCATACCGAAGTAGGGAATTTTGAAATTTTATAGTAATATGAAATTTGAATTACAATATTACACGATATTACATAATTAGTACTTATTTTAGGTAGGTACTAAATTTGTACTTGGAGAAAGTAATATCGATTTTTACAAGAAAACTTGAAAAGTAAATTAATTTAGTTCCTATTTCTGATATAAAACTTAAACCAAGAAAACAAATAAATTGTAGTTTGTTCAACAAGGGTGGATATGATAGCCATATTACACAAATACGAAGTTTGAGCACGACGTCGTAGGCGGAGTACTCAATCGTCTGATTGTGATATGAACAATCCACTCGATATGGTCAGTATATTTTTGCTACGACCCACTAACGAAAATCTACAAATTTAAAAAATTATTTTAGGTTATTTAGACAAAATAACTAATTTTAAAATAATTTACGAAGTTGACTAATTTATAAAATAAAATAAACATGAAAAATTAATTAGTCCTCGGCCTAGATTCGATCCCGGGCTTTTCGCGTGGAAGGCATCTTCACCGAAACTTTCAGGACTTTAGTTTTAATACTCGTAATTAAATTAGTAGCATGTAGTTTGATTAAAATTTATTTTTTTTAAATGTGGACACAATAAAAACAAAAATGCTATTATTTATCGAGTCTACACAAAAATTTTAATGTATATTTAATACCAATAACTAAAATATATATTGACAATTAGTTTAACAGAATTGTCACTTATTTAAAAATTTTTAAATAATAGGAGTTGGGTGACCAAAATATGAACTGTGATTTGTAGATTTAATTTTGTTAAAGTGTTCTCACTACCTAAAATGGATATGAAATATATTCGTAGTTGAACGCAATAACATACTTTTTCGTTTTGTAGTATGTGCGTAGATTGGCTAATATCCATGCACAGATTACAAAACGAAAAAGTATGCTATTGCCTTCAATTGAACGAATATATTTCATATCCATTCTAGGTAGTGAGAACACTGCAAAAAAAATAAATTCGCCAATCACCGTTCATATTTTAATCAACCGACTGCTATTATTTTTAAAATTTTAAATAAATGACAATTCTGTCAAACTAATTGTCAGTATATTTTTTAGTTATTGAGATTAAACATACAATAAAATAAGTTATTCTTTTGGAAAACGTTAGCATGGATGACTAAAGGGTATTGGGTTAATTAATTCTAAAAGTGTGGTACAAATGTTATTTTTTGTAGCCAATTCTTCAAAATTATTTTGAAATATCTTTTCAATATTGAATATTAGTTCTACAAATTCATCATTTGACAGTTGCAGATTTCCAAATGTATCTATCTGAATTGGCGTTATCATATGCCTTTAAAAAGCAATAAAAAGAAAAATCATCTAATTCAACGTGATCTTTGTTATATTTAAGACAGGTATCGCAGAAGTGGATCCGCAAGGCTTTTGTTAAAAGGTAACCACACACATACCTGATAGCAATTCGTCTTTACAATAATTTAGGGTGTTAATAATTTCATCATAAAATAAAATACAAGGTGTTCCATTTAAAAAACATACATTTTAATTTGCCAGGCAAAAACGTGACACCCTGTATATCCAAAGATATTTTTAAAATATGTAGGTATTTTTCAAATTCATATAACTTTTATTTAAAACTTTCTTGCGTGTCTACAACAAAATAATGAACAATAACGCACTAATGGGACACCCTGTATAAATTATATTTTTAACAATGAAAATTTTTTATAATGTGGTACTTATCGGTTTGGGTCCTTGGGAAAACTAAAGAATGTTTTTTTGCAGGTATAACCCTTATTAAAACAGATTTTGACTGCACAAACAGAATGATGTCTTTTTTTTTTTATTATTCTACTCACTGCTAAAGAGTCACCAAAATAATAACAGTACCTTTAACTCAAACAAAATCAACGAAATTATAGGCTCCACGAAATTATACAATCAACGAAATTATACGCACGACTCAACAACTTACCTAAGTACGATTCTGAACGCCAAAACCGTCTTTTCCCTTCGAAGGCGGAGCTTAAGCGATGCGCGACGAAATCGACGCAAACCGTTGCCGCCAAGAGAGTGTTTTAGCTGTATTGTATAAGCTGTGCTTATATCTTGAAAAGCATTCTTTTATTAGTTTTCTAATGATGTATGACAAATGACAAGTAGGGATTGCTATTTACTAATTTTCGTTGATGTAGGTGGTGCATAGAGGGTTTTTAGGTAAGTTCTATATTTTGTCATTTGAGCCCTTCATGTCCTAGAAAATATTTTAAACATTTTCTGATATTATCTTTAATTCATGAGAATAGTCATTGTAAGTTTTAAATTGGCACCCCATACAACTAAAACTAAAAGGTCAAATCTTGGTGAACTTAAAATATAAACCCACAACTATTGACATGGAGTCTACCAGACTCCCTCGTACTTGATTAACCTTCTAATAGCCTCTATAATTTTTTCTCATCACTGCTTCCTTAAGTACCTTCCTAAACACTGCAAAAGCAGCATTGAGCAAATTAATTAGTTCGAATTATAATATGTAAGGAGCAAGAGCAGACTCTATGTCAGTGTTTACACTACAATTCACTCATAATATAAAAAAAATGATTTTGCTGTTACTTTATTTACATTTTCGTGATAATAAATTTTATTAAAACTTATTTAACATACCGCTCACAGAAGGTCGTAATAGATAATCAGTTTTCAACATCATCCATTATAAAATCTAAAGTACCACAAAGATCGTTACTTGGACCTTTCTATTTTAATTATAATACGTTTGGTTTGTCCAACCAAATATGTAATATTTTATCTCAATTTTTTGCATCATCGATCACAAAATCTAGAGTACCACAAAGATCGTTACTTGGACCTTTACTATTTTTATTATAATACGTTTGGTTTGTGCAACCAAATATGTAATATTTTATCTTAATTTTTTGATGACGTAATTCATGAATTTGATGTTGACAATTGTAAATTTGCAAATGAACAAATTAAAGAAGATTTAAATCGAATTTATACATACTCCTCAAACCATAATTTACATTTAAATGCCTCTAAATCAAAAAGCATTATCTACTGCAATAAAACATCTAATGAGCTTCTCAAATCTAATTTAAACTTGAAGATAAGCAATGAAACAATACCAATCGTTGAACAATCAAAAAAATTAGAGTTACTCTTTGATGAACAATTGAGATTTGACAAACATATAAACACTCTCAAAACAAAGTTATGGAGCACTTAGGTTTTTATATTTAAATAAGCATATTCTCATTAGCAAATCTACTCGAGCAAATTTAACCCAGACTCTTATTATTTCTAAAATACTGTATCATTTGACTTCTTGGAAATTTTTGATATCAAGGTGAAAGTGGAGAGAAAGGTTTCAGCTTAGATTATAGAAAGTAATCTGAGGGTTTAAAATCTATAAATGTGACTATAATTGAATTAAAAATGTAAATGGGATAAATCCTTAGATTATAGAAATCTATAATCTAAGGGTTAATCGTTATTTTATCATCTTCTTGGAGATGCCATGAAAAAACCAAAATGATAACAAAGGGGTGGGATTATAAGATGGTTACACCTACCTATGGTTTGGTATGACAATAAGATAGGCAGTTGCAGTTAGTATATTGATCAATTCCCAATATTACCACCCTGTTTGATTAGTCTTCGATATTATCTATCATAGTAAGAAGTTGTGGTTATTTTCGGTTAATAGTGACAGTAGTATTGAAAAATGCAGTGTGGTTCAAGTTCAAAGTTTACACCTGTGAAACGCATAAAAAAGTATGTGTTGTCAGTTAACGAGAAAATATTTGTATACAATGTTTATAATTGCCTAAGGATGGAAAATTATTTGTTTTCTGTTGACGATACTGTTGAAATGACAAGTAATATGATGGGTGTAAGCAAATCAACAATATATAAAGTTATAAGTGGAGTTGTTGCACCCCCAAAGAAAAATGCAGGAGGTAAGAAAAAAGTGAAATTTACTGAACAAATTAAAAGCGGAATAAGAAAAAAAGTTTACTAATTTTATTAAAAAAAAAAAAAAACAAAAAAAAATACCATAACTTGCCAAGGGTTTGGACGCAATCGATAATGATCGGTATTTTCCTAAAATGGAAAAGACAAAACTACGGGAAACTCTAATAAAGTTGAAGTTCAAGTGGGATAAACAGGACAGAAAAGCAGCACTTATTGATTCTGAGGAAATTGTTTGTTGGAGACGGAGATACCTCAGAACCATTTTTAAATTATGTGCAGAAGGCAAAAAAATATATTATTTGGGTGAATGAAGGTTACACAGTTAGCAAAATGTAGCAGGACACAAACATTCAATCTTCACAACAGGCATTTTTGGAAAGATTGAAGGTTCCTTCCGGTAAAGGACGACATCTAATTATAACCCATATTGGAAGTGATGACGGGTTTTCAAAATGTGGTTCTGTAATATTTCAAAACCGGAGACTACCATGAAGATATGAACGCTGATGTTTTTAAAGAATATTTTCAGCAGATGATAGAACATTTACCAAAGGATTCAGTTATAGTAATGGATAACGCTAGTTACCATTCACGTCTATTTGAAAGTGTGCCAAATACTTCATGGAAGATAGATGATATCATTAAGTGGCTAACAGACAGAAACATTAACTTTCCAGAAAAATCAATAAAAATAGAACTACTAGAAATAGTGAAATTAAATAAGCCTCCAGTACGTTATGTAGTGGATGAAATTGCAAAAACACATGGTATTGATGTTGTGCGTCTTCAAGTTAAAGGATATTTAGGTCGACATAATATGACAGTTAAGTTAAAAGATGTAGAAGCATTGTTAGAAACCTCCATATCACTTGTTACGAAGGAAAATTAGCAAAAGGCAATCGAGCATGTGCTAAAAGAAGAAGAAAACATTGGAATCTGGACAAAATCTTGGATGTTGATACTACAGTGCCACCTTTAATAATATCAGTAAATAATGACTCATCAAGTGAATATAGTGATTCAGAGACTTTCACGTTTCCTGATCTTTGAGAGTGGGTAAGCATATCTATTTTATATCTAAATGTTATAATCGTATTAGCAAAAAAGAATTAGGATCTGGCGGCGCGGCGTTGAGACCACTCAATTAATGCTGCCAGAAACTAAACCACTGACAAAGCTCAAGAGACTGCAAAAACGCAAGCAAAACCGAAGCATGTCAAAAAAATGGTAAAAATATTAAATTTACCAAAAAAACACAAAAAACGAAAAATTGGCCTTAGCCAATCAAAAAATTTTTTTTCAGGGCGATTGGCAAGGGGACTAAAACAAGCACCCCGACGGTTAAATTATAATTATTTAAGTTAAAAATAGTAACAAAAAAAATACAAACAAATACCCCCTTATTTACCCAACCGTGCACTCATCAGTCTTAAAAGGGATTAAAATAAGGGTAGCCCATTGTTACGTTCTACAAAAACCGGGCGGTACAGGTAAAATTCTTAAATTTCTTAAGTTTTTAACTACCGGCTCTTGAAAATCAGATTTTGTTTGAGCCACCTGTGCTGTAAAATTCCTATAAAATTTTGATTTATTACTCGGTGTCGATTGTGATTCTACTAAAATTAAATTATTTTTAAATTGTCACCTTTTCTGATTAACATCTTGCTGAGAAAACAGATTTAAAAAAAATATAGTTTTGGATCTACAGACCGAGGCGTTACCGGTGGCCCACCCTGTATATTTTATTGAAATTAACCATATACCTACATAATTTGTTTTCTGTTATGAATAAATATTATTAATTATAATAAATGGTATCAAGTTTAGTAGTGATGAATTAAATTTTGTTTGTTTTAGTCAAGTCTCACGATTTTAAGCGGATTAAATTGCTGTTAGAGGGCATTCTGAATCGAAAAAATGTGACAATAAATTTTTCAAATCAAAGTCCATAAGACTTCCTGTCAATACCTGTGTCCTAAAATTAGGTGTCCTTAGTTCAGGGTTAAATTATTTAGTAATACTTGTAGATACCTAATCAGTAAATATATAAAAAATCACACTTTATTCTTAAGAAAAATTTAGAGTTTTTCAAAATTTCAGTTGTATTAAGTTCTATTTTGTCTTAATCCTAAACTTCATTTAATCTAATAAAAGCGAATTACCAGGTGGAATAGGAATTTTTACGGAGGATTCATAAACTATGTTCAGTTTGCATTCAGTTCGCCCTCAGTTCGAGTTCAACATAAACAGAGCAGAATGACAAGGTAAGTATGTTTTGGATAAGAAATTATACCGGATTCATAATTATTTTATAACCAACACCATCTACAAATATAATTAAAACAAAAATAACACCAAAATATAATTTTATTTTGTGGAATTTGTGGTTATGTCTTGCCAACTCGAACTGAGCGCCAACTGAACATAGTTTATGAATCCACCCTTATTGTTAAAATTATGTAGCCAGGTCATGTAAAACTAATATATTCACCACTCTCTGGAACAGTGTCTTCTTTATCCTCAAATTTTGGCAAAGGAAAGCTTCCAGGCCAAAAAGGCATAAAAGAAGCACTGCCTCTAGTTGCTTCAGATGGGGGCGCTGGGGCTCTATTTAACGACATAGAATTTTTAGCAGTGGCTCCTGCCGATTGCAAAGAAATTTCTCTAAAGCCTATGACTTGACCAGTATTGCGATCCCTTTGGACCTAAAATTATGGAAATTATATAGTTCCATTAAAATAAATAAGTAAACCAATTACTTGTAAAGTAGTTGTTAATGGTGATCCCTCGAAATATAAAAGTTCTTTGGGATTGGGATCCCGCGACCAGAATTTTTGATTTCTTTCATATTGATGTATTGGTAAATTTTCAGGACAAAGTAGGTATTTCCTTAATTCATTGTCAAGTGAAGGTAATACTGGCGGAGCTTCCATAATCGCCCCAAATAACAAACAAAATGTATTTATTTTGTATCTATCTATGAAAGAAAACAAAACTAAAAACACAAAAACTGTTTTTTTTGTTAGGTTAGGCGGTTAGGTTTAAAATTCTGTTTAAGGTTAACAACAATTTGCCTTTTTTTGTCTTGCCTCTTCGGTTAGGACATATTTGGCTGAATATTCGTTATTGTTTAGTTTAATGTCATTTGTCTATTTATAACTGACAACTGACACCTTCATCCTGGATCTCTAGAACTGACTTTTTTTTTGATTTTGTAACTTTTTCGTCGTTTTTTAAAAATTCATTTATGGAGAATGGAGAGACAACAGCGGTTTAATATTAAAACAAACGTGACAAATGCAAAATCAGCACGTTAGTATTATTTTAAAATTATTACGATGCAGTGCTTATTTTTTTTTTGTAGGGAGTCCTTCACCCAAAAGGGTTCTACATCTCGATACTGAAGACAGTCCTCTTCAAATAGCATGTACGCAAGAATCCTCAGATAATATAGATGTAGTATGGGATTGGAACTCGCCTCAAGCAAAAAAACAACCAAGGAAATGCCAAAAACGGCTTTTAGTTCAATCACCAAAAGTCCCTCTTAAGCGGCACCCATCAGCAAACTCGGTGCAAGAATTTGAGAAACTGAGAGAAGAACTAAAATCTTTAAGAGAACAATTGGCCTTTCCAGATTATGAAGAGAGTGTACCATTATCTCCAATAGAAGAAGCAGAGTATAAATGTTTTAAAACAGATAGTGTTGTTCAACATATACCAGAAGATGAATTTGATGATTTAATGGACGAAAGTGTCAATGAACAATTATTTGCTTTCAGTCAGCAAGTTGAAAATGACCTAAAAATTAATGAAAATAAAAATAGACCCCAAACAAGTCCAGTTAGTCCTAAAATCAATTTTAAAAAGATGAGTCCAAAGGAAAAACAGTTAGCTAATGATTCTTTTGAAGAATTGTTAAAAAAAATTGATGTAAAAACACTTCAAGAAAGTCCTCCAAATAGTGCAAATTCTTTTGGTAGTAGGACATCTTCTAATAATTCAACAGCAAATGTAACTAGCCATTCCATACATACATGTTCTGGAAAAGTTGAATTTCATAGAACACAGAGTTTTGAAATGGCAACTAAAGGTAAGAATATTGAATTTTAGTAATTGGTTATTGAAATTTGCTCTCCTATACTTTCTTCTGCTACCACTACTTTGGTTAAATATGTTTAATATTTACTGTAAATCATATAATTATATAAATGCGAAAGTTTGGATGGATGTTTGTTGCTCAATCACACAAGAACGGCCAAAGAATCTGGATGAAATTTGGCACAAATATAGATTATAACCTGGAATAGCCATATGCTACTTTTTATCCCGAAAAAATGTACGGTTCCCCTGAGATCGATTTGTTTTTGTTTTCTACAGACCAAGGGAACAGACATAATTTTTTGCATAGTGGTAGTGAAACATGAAAATTTGAAATACTGCTACAGAGCATAAATAAATAATGACGTGTTTCAGGGTTTTTGGTTTTTTACATTTTAAGGGGGGGGAAAAGGGGTTAAAATTTTGCATGGAAGCATCGGTTTTTTTATAGGTAGGAACTTGAAAATTGGAATTATAGCTACCCATCACAAATAAATAATGGTCTTTTTATGTTCATATATTTAAGAGGGAAAATGGGGGCAAAAGGGGAAAATGAGTGAAAGAAGGAAAATGGGGGAAATTGGGGAAATGAGAAAAATGTGTGGGGAGTGAAAGTTTGTATAGTAGGAACTTGAAAATTGGAATTTTCGGTACTCTTCATAAATAAATAGACAAGTGTTTTTGGCTTTTCACATTTTGAGGGGGGGAAACGGGTGTTAAAAGTTTGCAAGGAATCTGATTTTTATATAGGTAGGAACTTGAAAATTGGAATTTTACCTAGCTACTCATCACAAATAAATAATGGTGTTTCAGGTTTTTGATTTTTATATTTTAAGAGGTAAAAGAGGGAACATGGGGGTAAGAGGGGAAATGATGGAAAGAAGGAAAATGGGGGAAATAAGAGAAATGTGTCGGGAGTGAAAGTTTGCATGGTAAAAACTTGAAAATTGGAATTGTAGGTACTCTTCATAAATAAATAAATGTTTCAAAGTATTTGGATTTTACATATTAAGAGAGGAAACGGAAAGTTTTAAAGAATTTCGCTTTTTAATTGTAGAAATTTTAAAATTGAAATTGTTCATAAGAAAACAATGACGTATTTCAAGGTTTTTGAATATTCACATTTAAAGAAAGAAAGAAAATCGTAAAAATAATAATAAAAATTAATGGAAATAAATAAAAATAAATTAATAAAAATTAATAAAAAATTAATAAAAATAATTAAAAATTATTAAAAATTAATAGAAATTAATAAAAAATAGTAAAAATTAATAAATATAAATAATCATTTATTTTTTTAAATTATAAACACGACACCACGCGAGCAAAAACTAGTGTGTAATAAATTATTTATCTATGGCCCTTTGTATATTTGATCTAGAAGATCACTTTCATAAGAAGTCAAAACTAGATATTTAGTTTGTGTATAAATAGAATTTGTGAAGAAAATTATCTATTTAACTTACCTATAATAATTAGACAAACAGCAACACTATACAGAGAATCTACAAAACCACTACATTTAGATTTTCCATCATTACCTGAGATTTCCTTTAGACTACATAATAATGACCTGCATTTAATAAAGTGTTTACTTTGCTAATATAAACAAAAAAATATGTCCCCATTCTCTGAAGGCCTAGGTATTTAAATGAACAAACCCTTATTATTTTTTCCTCTAAACTTTTCCATTTTCCCAATAAAAACATCTTAAATAGGAAATCTGATGAAGTGACATCAGACGTAATAATTCTGTAGAAATGTTCAAATTGAATGGTATTTAAAGGGCCATCTGGTCTAGTGCATGTCAAAGTTGTATTGTTCATATTTATAAACATTATTAAACTCTTTCCTCTTGTAAAACTTTTGCCATTTACTTTACATGAATTTCGAAAAATAAAAAAAAATATTTCATATTTAGGTATAATACACTACAAGTGTACTCAAAATACAAATAATTGAGTTTTTTTATTTTCTGCAAAAAAACACTTGTAGAAAATTTGCAACTTTATGAAAATGTTTCAAAATACAATGTATCAAATTTGCCACACTATAGAAAAACTCTAAACTGATTCACATGAAAACTTTTGAAATAGTGATATATTATAGTATTTGACCTGATTCTTTGTATTTTATCCAATGGCCATATTTATTAAGACTGGTAACCGTGATCGGTTCCCTAGGACCAAAAAAACCATTAAAGAACGTAACCAGTTTAACTGGAACCAGTTTAACCACATCCGATTTAACCGTAACCGGTTTATAACCGTATTTATGTGTACCAGCCACATCAACTTCCAGTGAACGGGTGTTTTCCAGTGCAGGAAACAGTTTTTTTGTATCAAAACTCGATAATAAAAAAATAGGCAGTTTTGTTATTAGGTATTTGTTATTATTTCTTATTTTATGTCCCAATTAATTATAATTTATTTTTGATTGTTTTTTATACTTGAATATAGTTTTGTTTTTTTAGTTTTACTTACCCACCCAGTGGGAAGTGAGTGACTGTGTCCTTTTTTAAATTTTAAATAAAGTTTAGCAAAAGTAAAATTGGTAGTATTTCTATTATTCAAATTTAATTTTTATTTAGTGAGTGCCTATTTAAAAAAAAAAATCAAGCATGCATTGCCTGGTTGTCATGGGTAAGGAAAGGTGAAATGGTTAGTAAAGTGACCCCATTTCTATTGAAAACAAAGGATTTGGTGGATGTGTTTTGCCACGATTAAGCCTGTGATGGTTATAGTTAAACCAGTGATGGGTTTAACTGGTCACGGTTACGGTTAAACCGCCGAATCCGGTCTAACCAGTCCGTTTCAACTGGCTCAGTTTGATCGAACCGGATAAACGGATCGGTTAACCGGATAATCTGACCGGTCAACCGGATAATCTGACCGGTTAACAGGATAATCGGACCGGTTAACCGTATATCCGGACTGGTTATAATAATAGTAAGAATCCGGTTAAAACCAAACTCGGTCAAAATCAGTGGAACCGTTTATCACGCCAGGAATTGACAGCCTTAATATTTATCTAAATGAACATTTTTGGGTAGTACATGAGCTGTAGGTCCTGTGCTGTTTTGCTCCTATTTCTATTTCAACCGGACTTGTTGATAGCCTTCCACGCCTTTTGTGCATATTGTATCAAGCAGAGTTTCTGTATCTGCAAGTCTATATTGCCAGAGATTCATGCTAACTGGAATATTGGTTTCTTTCTTTGCTTGTTTATATAACAAGAATTTATAACAGACACATCATATTGTTAGTATTTGTACAATGTAATCTGTTCATCTTTTATTATAGATACTTATTCCAAAACTTGTACTCAAGATGAAATAGAGAGGAAGAGACTAGAAGCACTAGCAAAATTAGAAGCAAAGAGAAAATTAAGTATGACTACATGTGAGTAAATTTTTATCAGGGAACTATTTTATGTACTTCTTGTTATAAAAGAAATTTGAGCATTTGTTTTTATAAATTTCAGCAACATTCCAGTGTTCTTCTGAAGAGATTGAGCAGAAGAGACTTCAAGCATTGGCTAAAGTAGAGGCCAAGCGACAATATGATATTATAGAAAGGAAAAGGCAAGAGGCTCTTAAAAGACTGCAAATGAAGAGACAACAAAATGTAACTAGTGTTAAAAGTTCTTTAGCTACCAGACTAAAGTAATATTTAGGAATATAAAATACTATTTTTTACGAGTTTATATATGTTTATGTTTATAATATATAAAAATATAAAAGTTACTAGTAGTATTTTTATTAATTAGTTGATAGCTTTAAAGTCGAGTAAAAATTTAATTTCTACATTTGTGAAGCTGGAACGGTCGGGATTTCTGTAGAAACTTGACAACAACAGTATAAGGCTGCTATCAAAACGATATTTCCAAACATATCTGTAAAAATAATTTTTTATATACTCGGAAAGCTTAACAAACGTATCTAAATTAATTACCTGCGAATAACCTTCTAAAAAATACATTCCCTACATTGTAGCCAGCAAAAAAATAAAAGTTTGATATTGCAGACATTGCTAGTAAAAAAGCCGATATAAAACAATCTTTTCTTCGTTTCCAATTTTGTTCCTGTCCATTTTTCTTAATTTTATCGGTTTTTGACCAAAGGACACTCTCGCACATTAATCCAAAATAGTTTAGTATGGTCCATATAAATATATGAGTCTCGAGTCCATGCCAAACATAGACAAACGAGAAGCAAAAGAAACTTCTTATTGGCTTATTTTGAGTAAATTTTGTCATAGGAAGGTATATGTTTCTAAAAATAACATTATATTCTTTACAGCCAGATATTATTGATGATTATATATCCTAGTAAGTTAAGTACAAGTTACTCACTTGATTAAAAAATTATATAAACCGGGATCAAAATATTTCCACATGTCTGAATATAAATGAATTCTTCCTATACAACGAGGTAGGTTTGGAACATTGATTCTTTCAAAAGATGCTATGCTAGTACTTATACCATACTGTATAACATATTTTAAATGAAAAAATTGACCCATTGCATATCCAAATCCATACAAAGACCAACTGTCTAAATTTTCAATTAACTGCAAAAATTAAAACATTTTTTTAAATTTAAATATACCTACTTAACTGTTTGAATTAACACTTGGTCAGGCGCAATGCAGAACATTCTTCGAGCGGGCGAAATGCATCCATGAGATTAAAATGACAAAATGTCGATTTTTTTTTATTAAATGAGATAGATTTTAATTCCAAAATTAAAAAGTATGCTTGGGTTTTATATGAAAACCAAATGAAATACATTTTGTCAGATCATATGCGCCCGACGGAGGGTTAATAAAAAATGAGAAAAGTTACCTGTGGATGATAAGCAGATGCATTCAAATATACAAAGTGCAGACAAATGTATAAGAAACTAAACCAAAACAGTGACTTGATTAAATTCCTGGCCAATTTTTTACATCTCCATAATGAAAATTCTATATTACTATTATAACAGGTTTCAAAATCTTTATACAGAATAAAGGGGCCACTAAATACTGTGGGAGGGTAGAAGCAATATGATAAAAAGTCAAGAGCATTAGTATTCTCAGTGTTTTCTAGACAGAAACTAGTACATTTCAAGTTCATCCAGAATAAACTACATATCAAAACATATATTTCATAATCTTTACTTTTAATAGTTTCTATAAGATCAGGATTGTTGACAATTGATTTAAGATAGTTTAATAGAGCTAAAGATATGCTTGAAGACATCCACACTGAGGATTTGTTTTGATATAAATATCTTATGTTAAGGAAAACTGCTGGTTGTATTAATAATAGTAATAAAAAAATGTAGTTCCATTTCAGCAGTATATAAATTACAGTGAAAAGGATATGCCACAGTTTAAAAATCTAGAATAAAAAAAATTAAATTTATATTTACTATTGTGTAAAGGCCGATTTATAAACTTGCAGTTACCACTCAAAGTTGTAGTTCCCTTTGAAAGTTAAAGAGCTACTTTCACTTTTGTCCCCTTATATTCTCTGTTACTGTTGCACATTCAAACAACAAAGTTTTAAGTTCAACAGCGACTGCAACGTCAAACCAACGGTAACGGCGATGGAACTGCAAGTTTATAAATCGGCCTTATGTCACAGTGTTTAGAATATACCTTTAAAGATTTAATATATTTAGTAGCTAATGCAACAGAAACGTAAATCACTAGCCATGGGAAATAATCTTTAACTAGGAACATGATTGCTTCCCATTCTAAATCAGCCTTGTCTCTCTTTTTAGACAAAAATGATATGCCCTGAGTGAAATCATCATATTCATCATTGTAATACCTAAAATCTGGGATTATATTTAAAAAATAATAAATCTAATATCTTAAAATGTATTTACAATTGTATGAACTTGTTGAGAAACGGTGTACTGAATAAATCACAGATAAGCTCCATATAATAAAATATATAATCGTTTCAAAATACATTATTAATTCAATTTGAAAATGTTCATTTTACTTTTATTTTTAAAATTTGCAAGGTTAGGTTGTTGTTTGCAATATAAATGGCCTTTTCCTAAATAACTTATACATTACCTCCTTTTATTGCTGCGACTGCAACTATTAATAGGCCACGAGATATTTTATGTGAAAAATTGGAATACATTTAAAAATTGGTATCTGGTATAAGTAAGTGTTCTGTGCAGGGGTGGGAAACTGGTATGCGCAGGTCAAGGATCAATCAACCACGTCCGCGTGGCGCTGCAGTCGGGTGGTGGGGTAGGTGGTGGGAGTGTAAATGACAGGTGAATATTGATTTTGGGGGGGTGTCATGGCGTCTTGGCTTAAACCCTTAGATAAAAGAGACCAGAGATATAACATACACCGGTTTTAAACCTGCGCAAATGTTGCCAATTTCTAAAGAAGGGTTAACGGAGTGGGGGAACTGGGCGGCGACACGCGGCGACTCGAACTCTGTGACAGGGACCGGACTTTGTTTATTAGCAACTTAATGAACTATTAGGTTTATTTAAAAGGTGTTTAATCGAATTTTGTATTATGAAATCAAATTATCGTGATTTTTTAATATCAAACAGATGCCACGACATTTTATGTAAAGAGAAGACCTTTTATAGAATATTTCGTTAGCGTTTATTTACTACGGACTTTTCTGCAAGAGATTACAGTAAAATGTTGAAATAGAATATATTGTTAATAGAGCAAAAAATGTTACTCATTGTCTACGAGTATTATAAAAATAGCATGTGCGCAGGCTAATACTGCAAATCTACCCTTATGAGTTGAACATTATATTTTTTCTACGGCTATTACATATTATTAAAAATTAGTCAAAATGAGAAAATGCTGTTTTGTATTGTAACCTCAGAAAAAGTATATTAAGGCTTCTTTCTTTAAGAATATTATTTATTATAAAGGATGAGTCACATAAAACTCTAGAAATGCATATGTCTGAAACCAGATAACATTTTAAAATTTAAATCTATTAAAAGTCATTTGGTCGCTAGGGATGAGTGATTATCGAAATAAATTATCGATAATTGAAAATAATCGATTATTTTCGATCAATAGATTATTTTCAAACAATATATTTTTTGTAATTTCCTTTAAAATCGACTACTTGATTATTTTTGAAAAATCAAAAATAATCGATTAATTAAAAAGCCAATTAACCGATAAATCAGTGTTGACAAAATATATATAAATAGAATTATCGTTTATTTTAAATAATCGATTATTTTCAAATAAACCATTTTTTTTTCGTCCATGGAAACAGATTATTCGATAATCTTTGAAAAATCGAAAATAATCGATTAATCAAAAATAATCAATTAATTAAAAAGTCGATTAACTGATAAATCGATTTAAAAAAAACAGAATGATCGATTATTTTAAATAATTGATTATTTTCGATCAATCGATTATTATCAATAATCTATTTTTATTGTATTTCCTTTAAAATCGTTAATTCGATTATCTTTGAAATAGCGAAAATAATCGATAATTCCAAAATAATCGCCTAATCGAAAATAATCAATTAATTAAGAAGCCGATTCTATGATAAATCGATTATTACCAATAATCTATTTTATTGTATTTAAAAAATATTCGATTAATTAAAAAGTCGATTAACTGACAAATCGATTTTCAAAAAAAACAGAATGATCGATTATTTTAAATAATCGATTATTTTCGATCAATCGATTATTATCAATAATCTATTTTTATTGTATTTCCTTTAAAATCGATAATTCGGTTATCTTTGAAATACCAAAAATAATCAATAATTCCAAAATAATCGCCTAATCGAAAATAACCAATTAATTAAGAAGCCGATTCTATGATAAATCGATTTTCCAAAAAATAAAACGAATTATCTATTATTTTCTAATAATCCTTTTTTCATATTTCCTTTGAAATTGATTATTCGATTATCGAAAATAATTGATTATTAAAAAGCTGATTATCCAATAAATCGATAATTTTAAAAAAATAACCAAAATATCGATTATGTAAAATAACCGATTATATTCAATCGATTATTTTCATATAATATCTTTGAAAAATCGAAAATAATCAAATAATTAAAAAACCGATTAAACGATAAATCGATAATTTTGAATAAATGTACTTTTTCTGTATTTCCTTTAAAATCGATTAATACATTATCTTAAAAAAAAACGAAAATAATTTATTAAAAACAGCGGATAAATCGATTTTCATTAAAAAATATCAGAATTATCGATAAATCGATTATTTTTGTAACCCCTATCGGTCGCTTGCTTTTATCTGAGCATTTAGCTCCAAAATTTAGAGATTCGGATTTTTTGATCCAGTTATCTTTGAAATCGCATTCGCTTGTATAATAAATAAATATTGCTAAATTTTGGATTTTTTTTAGTAAACGAAAATTATGTTCGAGTTGTTTAGGGGTTTGTAATGTAACATTTTATTAACGTGACTAAGGGTTGATTCCACCGTTGTGTTAAACGAAGTTTAAAATGACATTTTTACATTAACACTGTCATTTTAATCTCCGTTTAACACAACGGTGGAATCGGACCTAACTCCTGTAACTTTAGTATTTTTTTTTTTTGTTTATACTAGATTACTTTGTTTTAAGACTGAAAATTCAATGTCACTTTCGATTTGACCGCAAATAAGATGAACCTTGAAATTTTAAGTAGGTCATCCTGTATTTCATCTAATATTCTTATAAAAATACCTTATAAAAATAAAATTTAGCTAGCAACTATGATTCTTTACCTCTTATTTATTTACCAAAAAGGGCTAAAAACTACCTTTAGAAAACATTCTTATAAAACTACTTTTTAAATACAAAATTTCGTTAGCAATAATGCCTATTTACTATTTATTTAAATTAAATGTTCAAAATTTTACCCTTTTGTAAATTTATGTAAGTAATATGAAATCTGATGCTTAATATTTATTGAAACCCCTTAATGCGGATCTGAAGTATTCAGCCCAGAGAATCATGGCGCTTTATGTCAAAACGTTAATAAATATTTACCGCTGAAAACGAATATATTCATAACAGTAGTACTTGTATTATAAGTACATACAATTTTTCAAGATACATCGTGACATTTTGAACTTGAAATTGAATAACTAGAACACTTTAAATTGCTAAAATACCAACAAATAAATCAAAAAACAGCTGTCATTGGTGATTAAACTCAGGTGGAGGTGTGATCGCTGAATGGAAATCGGAGCAATTCGGGTGGCGTCGTGCAACAATGATTTTCAATTGGTGGGTTACTTTGGCTTAAAATAGACTGCATGCGCAGTGTGCAATGTTACATCTTCGGTCTCTTTAATCTAAGCTTAAACCAAACGTGTTTATTTATATTGGTGACTTGGTTGTGTTCAGTTGTGTTTTCATTTCCAATTTGCTTAATTGATTTAGTTGACCACTGTTAGTGAGCTTGTTTTTCCATTATAAATTTGTGCGTTTTGAACTGTTATCTTGTGCTTTTTCCGCTGTTATTTCGTGCTTTTCCATAAAGATGCGTAATTATAGAAAATGTTGTGTACCGAATTGCCTTGATGTGAACAACAAGATGCATCGCCTGCCCCACCCTAGGAATGAACCCGATTTATTTGAAATTTGGGCACTTGCTGTTCGTTGTCCAAGATTTAATAATAAAACAAAACTACAAATTTATTCCACCTTTGTAGTATGTCATAAACATTTTGAAGAGAAGTATAAAGTAGTTGGCTCTCGTCGAGGTCTAACACCTGAAGCATTTCCAACGCTATTCCTACCAGCAGTTCCTGGAAGAGTAGCGGATGGACTTTCCTCAAATAACGTAGAAATTGAATATGTTGATCAAACACCTTCTACTTCAAGTAAAGGTTCGAAGAAGAAGCAGAAGCAGACTAATAATATATGTTGGACTTCTTTTCGAGAAGGAAAGTTAGTAATCTACTCATTTATTTTATACTTATACTGTGTATTTTCTGTTTCATGACATTTGGGGTTGCAAAGCTGTATCGTAGAAGAAGAAGCAGACTAATAATATATGTTGGACTTCTTTTCGAGAAGGAAAGTTAGTACTTATTTATTTTATACTTATTGCTGTGTTTGAGAATCCACATCAGATGCATTTTTTACATCTCGAGCGTTTTTTTATCCACATACCTATATATAAAACGTTTATTTAGTCAAAAAAACTATTTTTTACATGTCAATACATCTTCACGTTTAAAATATAAAAAATACCTAAATATAGAATCAACATACATTTAAAATGCAATAAAAAATACATAAGATACAGTACACTTACATGTCAACTATACAAAACAATAAAAGAACAAGAAAGAGAAAAAAAAACGTCAATAGGTGAACAGGTATTCATGCAGTTTTATTTTAAATATTGCCACATTTGAAGAACATTTAATATCCTCAGGCAAATTATTAAAAGCCTGTACACCTTTAAAAAACACTGAATTTTGTGTACATTTTTCTTGTTACCTGTTTAGGTTCATGAACATCCTGATTATAACTTAAAATATTTTGTAAATATACTCTGGAGATTCCTGATTTAATTTTAAATATAAAAAGCAGGGAATAGAATAGCAAATATTTTTTAACAGTCAACCACTGAAGCACATTCAACATGGAATTGATTGGTTCCAATCTCGAACAGCTCAGTATTATCCTCAGACCTCTATTCTGCAACTTTTGCAATCATTGCAACTCATTCTGGTTGAGCAAATACAGTATAGTGGCACAATAATTAAAATAAGGTAATATTAAGAGTATTATAAATTATTATTTTAGTCCATTTGCCGAGATGTGGAGAACAGCGCCTCAAATAGTTTATTTTAAATCGGACACATTTGTCCCATTACATTTACGTAAATTGAATCACGTGATCAAAGATTTACTACATCTCAGTTGCATCCGATGTGGATTCTTAAACGCTGCTTATACTGTGAAATTTGTG